CGTCTGAATCTATATTTGTCATTGATACCTGTGTTTTATTCCTCATCAAATGCACCGTTACAGTTACAGCCAATGCAACCAAACACATTAGAAGTAGCGTTATCGAATTAATAAGCAGGTTGTTCTCCCATAAGAACATCGATTACTTAATGTTCAAACCTCATGAATTTTATAACGAACTATTGAAATATATATATTACTTATACAAAATATTGGATTTTTTATATTTATAGATATTATATTGAATTACGTATCACATGATTAGATATTTTTCAAATTATTCATTGCTAATAAAGAATCCCTTATTGCACTTATGAGCGTGTCACATTGTTAAATTTACATTACGTTAGAATGATGTTACAAATAATTTATTTCGATATATTTATTAACTGAATATTACTACTCAATATATATTTTTAACTTTTAGTATTTTTTACTAACAAATTTTATTCGACAGAATAATTGTATAAAAATATTAATTTTTAACGATGTCTGTTGCAATATGTATATTTTTATTTAATTGTTTCTTTCTTTTGATTTTTATTGATCCTGAATTTTAACATTATTACAAGCATATGCATAAACGACAATTTTATATACCAACAATAATTATCAACATTTTGAAATCAAATTATTAAAAATTAAACTTTTACGTTTCCGATCAATGTTACATATTATACATATTAGTGATAAATTACATTTTATACCGTCATCGTAAATACTACATTTAAACGTTTGGATTTAAAAACATAAATATTTATACATATACATGTAGCAAAGAGAGAATATACAATAGGTGTCACACTACACGAAAGATATTCCTCATACGCCAGTTCGTGTTTCATTCGTGATCATATCAGGTATAACGAACGCGACAGTGCTAGTGCGAGTATATAAATTATTTGATTAATAGTTTAATAGTGTTTGAAATTGAACGAGAACTTAAAAAAATAAAATGTTTTTTTATTGAAATATATGATAATAATTTTACTAAATGGAACGTACGCGCAAATTACGCATGATATTGAAACAATATTACTGCCGGCATCGAATCCGACAGGCGCAATGAAGGTACGTGCGTTTTACAGTATAATTCTATTTGTTAATTAACCATCGTTAATCAAGAATTATCAAGTTTTTTCTTTAAATTGTCATACAATTTACAGATACCAATAACATTGAAAGTTTTCGGACGATTGATTCAACTAAATCTGCGTAAAAGTGCTAGAATTGTATCGCCTGCGTTCAAAGAATGGAAATATAATGCGAAAGGCGTGACAGAAAAATTGTTTGAATTAAACGTATCAAGTCATTGCTTTTATTATCATGAAGATCATATCAGCTCTGCGGTTATCAACTTTTGTCATGAACATGGATTGGTCAGTAATATTACATGAAAAACAAACAGTTTTAAAATTTTTATGTGTTTACTTGTGACCTTTATTATTTTTCGTTTTATATACAATG